CCCCAAAACCCCCCGAAGCGTAGCTGTCACGACGAGAGGCCAGGCAAAGCCATATCCCAAGCCACGTCTGCCACCCCTGACGCAGGGAGGACCGAAATGATGATATTTAGGGTTTAGGGTTTAGGGTTTTAGGGGTTAGGGTTTAGGGCTTAGAGAGCTTGCAAGAACTAGAGATTGCAAGTTTCCGGCGGTTATAGGGGTCATTAGAGATTAGGGTTTAGGGTTTAGGGTTTAGGGTGTTCAACTCAAGAATTATATCTTCCCGGGTGTCAACGCTTGAGCGGTTTAGGGTCTGGGGATCTGGCGCGCGTGCGATCGTCTCGTCTTAAGCCCCAGGCAATCTCTAAAGTCTTTGCTGTGTAGCTTTGTGGTTGCAACCATGTACATTTAATTAATCCAGAACCTGGGCTCAAACCACCCCAACATCCTGAACCCTACACCACTAGTTGCAGAATTCTAAACCCTCTGTTGTTGCCCTAAACCCTACACCCCTATGCAGACCCTATAAACCCTAAACCCTAGGCCCTAAGCCGTAAGCCCTACACCCTAAACCGACATCGGAGCCAAACAGTTTGCCAGCCTTGTAGCGACGTAAAGATGTGGACTCCTCCAGCCTACACCCCTTAGAACACCAAGCAGAGATCCGAAGATTGCCCCCAAACCTGTGAATAAAGTTTTGGATGCCTCGTAATATGAGAGCATTGATAATTAGAGTAGGCTTTTGGAGTGATGCTCACAGTTTTGCATAGGATCCGCATCAGAATCCGGATTGCGCTTGGTACTCAAAGTCCCAGTGTAGAGGGAATGAGCCCTTACACCCTATAAACCCTAACCCCCAAATAAAGCCCAAGCCTCTCAACCCTGAACCCCAAAATATAGCCCTAGACCTCAAATCTAACCCTAAATCCCTATAACCCCACTGCAGTCGTAACTGAGGATCAGTGCAAGGCCCGAGACTGCACAAACCACCGCTCAGAAGTTCTACCCACGGACGACCGAGCCGCCAAACCTCTGCCCAACACAATTCGGCCTAGGGTTTAGGGTTTAGGATAATTCCATGGTTCTTGTAGGGGATGGGGGAATGGGGGAAGGGCTCCCTATCATAGCCCCTTCCCCCAGTCCCTCCAAGAACCCCCAAAGGCTCCAGAAGGTGTTGGGTACAGTAGGGGCCTGAATTAGAACAGTGTGTTGGGGTATGTTGTAAGTAGCAATTGTTCAGAACCCCCATACCGGAATGGTGGGCCCCAACTTGGCAATCTGCGGCCGGAAGCAAAGGGTAAAAGATGTTCAAAGGATTCATTTAGATTCCTCCTTGTAATTATGGTATAGTAGGCCCCAAACCCTTTTTCCAATTAACAAGGCCCCTATAGTACGTGATGATCCGGATTTTGCGTTGGAGAGAGGATCACATGATTGCGGCTAATGCTCGCATACCGAAGCCTGCATCGTCACACACCGAGCACAAAACCTAAACCCTAAACCCCAAAACCTAAAGACTAGATCCTAAACCTAAACCCTAAACTACCTTAAACCCTAAACCTTAGTTGTCTAGTGGACCTGGAGGGAATTTCTCGGTAACCTAAAAGAAGAACTGGTATTTTACCGGGCATGCCTGAGGTCCCTCAGCCCCTTTTGTTCTACTCCCCCTTCCAAGAGCCCAAAACCCTAAACTCCGAACATCCGCTCCCGAAGCCTGCAACCCGAAAGAAACTACCCGATGTGTGTCGGCCTCTCAGTGGTGTGGAGGCGTAGGCGCACCTCGCACTCTGGGTTTGGGACTTCAGGTTTGAGGAAGTACAGGTTCAGAGTTTTGGATTCAAGGTTCAGAGTTTAGGATTTAGAGCTTAGGGTTTAGGGTTCAGAGTTTAGGATTTAGAGTTTAGGGTTTAGGGCTTAGGATTTGAGGATTTAGGGCTTCAGGCCTCCAAGGCTGAGGGGGTTTTAAAGCGGGGCCTAGGGAGTTTCGGGTTGTAAGGCCTTGCGGGTTGAGGATTTTTAGCGTTTTGGGGGTGGGAGGGCCCCTGGCTCATGTTAGAATAGACATAGACATAGTTACCTATCATAGCTCTTTCCTTGACGGCTAGAGCTACTGCCTGCCAGAAACATCCTGAGCAGCCCGTGATGCTTTGAGCTTTGGGCACATGAAGACCCTACCCCCGAACATCGCAGTGCTACAAACAACCCTAAACTCGAATTAATTAAACCCTAAAACCCTAAAACCCTCAACCCTAAACCCTAAACCCCTAAACCCCTCCTCTTCAGGCCCGCCATCAGCGGCGGCGGCTGCCTTGCGCATGGACACGGGGCTTCGGGAAGAGAGGCTTTGGGATTGAAGGCGAGGGCATAGTGATTACCAGAGGACGGGGGGGAGCGCTACCGCAAAGCTGAAAAGTTGTTGACCATCCAAGCAACAATATAAATTCGACAACTTGTTCACAGCAAAACGGCTCATTCGTCACTGTTGCCGTCAACATCGTCGCAAGCATGGGCATGCTGAATTTGCCTGAGCAGCAGCATCATCATAATCATAATCATCACCACCATCCTGTTATCAAAATTATTCTTCTTCTGCCTGCTCACATCCTCATCGCCGTCAATAACAACAGTCTCACGGCTCATCATCCGACTCTAGAAGCACCTAAACAGTTTTGCAAGGGTGTTGGTGTCTCATGTGCCAAGCGTCCTTTAAAGCCACAAGCCCGAAAGCAAAACGCTATTTAAACTTCCGCTCCAAGAGTCCTCCCAGACACACTAAGTTCAATGTTCTTCAAGGACTGACTGAATCTGAATAAACCCTAAACCCTGTTCAACAACCCTAAGCCAAAAAACTAAGTAAGCCCTTGAAGGCACAATTGTCTGGATGCTTCGGGTTTAGGGCTTTGGAGGCCCCGATGCCAGAGGCGGAGTTTAGGCTCCCCAGCCTAAATCCAAGCCAAAGCAAGGTGTAGGTCACGTAGGCAATAAAAAGAACACTAACAACGGTTGGAATCATAAGAAGAAGATCAAGCATTAATGAGAATAACAAGAATGGGTCTACTTATAATGACACTAACACCAATAAATAGGCTTTGACAATCCCCATAGAAGCATACTATACTGTTCCCCCAGCGCTGTTCCAATGAACAGTCTGGCCGGGGTTAGGGCATCGGATGTGGCGACCTACTACAAACAACAACACCATTGCTGATGAGTCTCTGGAAGCTCTGAAACCCCAAACCAAGCCCCAAACCCTAGACCCTCAACACCTAAACATAATACTCTGTGCCCGAAATGCAATAACCCCAAACAGCAAACCCGCCGAACCATGCCAACACCCTATACCCTGCGCCCTAAATGCAATAACAAGCGCATTGGTCGTCAGAACCGGCCTTCAGGGCAGAGACAAGTGATTGCTCGACTTCTGGAAGGGCCTGCAGATTCGGAAGATTGCGAAAGTACGGCTCAGCGCAACCCCTAAACGCTAAACCGTAAACCCTTGACCCTAAACCCTAAATCCAAAAACCCTGAAGGTCCCTAAACACTAAGCCACAGTCGAAGGCTTCGGAAGATGCGAAAGTGGGTTTGTTTTTAAGTGCAGTGGCCTTTCTCCGCAGCAATGACAGGGGTCCAAGCCCGCTCCAAAGAAGCTTGCACTCAAGCCAACACCCTTACCAGTATCGGCTCGCAGAGCAGCAGAACTATACAGCAGTACCACGTACAACAGGATCGGCACTGAAGCAGCCCTGGGTTTAGGGCTTAGAGTCTAGGAGTGAAGGGACCCCTACCTAATGTAGGGGCGTTAATAATAATTAGAATCAGGTTTTGTGCTATATTATCGTATATTTATAGTAAGGAAACCCCCAGAGTAGTATCGGTAATTATTCAAGCCCCTACATTACACCACAAAAACAGTCAGTAGGTGCTGAGGATGCCTAAAAAATGTCGGGCTTCTGGTGTTCACGTGCTTCCTATTGCGAAAAATCCGCTGGATACACAGGTGTGACATCTCACCAGGATAGGCCGTGGATCTCGCAGACTCGCTTTTTTTGTGGAATTGGGTTCAGGAACATATCCTCGATGGTGCCTCTCTCAGTGCTTTGTGCTGCTTGATCCAAAGCCTCAACTCCACAAGCACGTGGCAGTACTCCAAGCCACGCATGCATGCATGCATGGGTTATCTAAGGAGCTTCGCTCCAGTCGCAAGTTGACCTTCAACACAGATGCCAACAACATGCCACACACCACACCGCCAACGTCCCCCCCCCCTCCCCGCCCTAAACCCTAAACCCTAAACCCTAAATCCTAAACCCTAAACCCTAAACCCTAAACCCTAAATCCTAAACCCTAAACCCTAAACCCAGGTCTTACTTGCAAAGCGGCAAACTCTGCTGAAGGAGTCTTCGGCTCCAGCCCAGACTCTGGGTTTGGGACTTAGGGTTTAGGATTTAGGGTTAAGGATTTAGGGTTTAGGGTTTAGGGTTTAGGGTTTAGGGTTTAGGGTTTAGGGTTCAGGATTCCGAGGCTAGGGGCCTAGCCAGGGTTTGGGCATTAAGGGTCAATTGACTTAGGGAGTCGGAGCTTGATGTTAGGTTTAGGGGTTCAGGGTTTAGGTTCTTTAGGCTTAGGGGTTTAGGGTAGTTTAGGTTCTCCAGCAACCCCGTATCAGTAAGGGTATCCTTCTCCCAACATTCAGTCCTGAGAGGGAGACCCGAAAGCAACAAGTGCATATGGATGGTGTAGGGACCTTATTAATTAGAATAGTGTTCTGGAGTTTTTATGCTATAATAATTATAAGGACCCCCCCCAAATAGTATTGGTAATTACTTAGGCCCCTACATTAATTATACTTAGGAGCCCTTAGGACGAACATCCTACGTGGAACCTTTCAGAAAGCAGAGAGCGGCAAGGAGCCCAAGCCTAAACGTATCCCAAAAACACAAAACAAGCCCTACACTTTAATTCTTGGACAACCCTAAACCCAAGCCGACCAAGTCCCCAAAGCCCCTCTGCCCTTTCCCGGCCTGCGTTTCCGCAGCCTGAAGCAACAGCTTTGCCACACCTTGCCCTTGCTGGTCGGTGCGCACCTCCGGCGTGGCAGGGAGTAGACTGAGTAGAGGCTCAGACTGGTCTCGAACAGTCTGGGAACCTACAACAACCTCAAAGCTGAGAAGATCCGCCGAGACCCCACACCTCCTGAGCTTGGACGACGCGAAACCCCCTGAGCCACCTGACCTGGAGGTGGCGAATGACCAGCTCCCCGTCGCTCTTCTCTGCCCGACAGTAGCCCACCACTTCACCGGTCTCCGTCTCCCGAGCCACCAGGACCAGCGATCCGGTCTCCCCCCGCCCAGCATCCTCCACGATCATGGAAGACTCCTCGAAGAACTCGAAGTCCGTCTCCTTGGCGCCGAAGGCCGAACAGAAGTCCAGTGCTCTGCAGGACTGGACGAAGAGGTGCCCCTGGAAGAGCGCGGCCTGGTAGGCCACGAGCATCTTCTCCAGCTCCCGCACCTCCTCCAGCGCGTCGTCGGTGAGCAGCGTCACCTTGAGGACTTTAATTTAGCTAAGTTACCTTAGTAGAGGTCTATGGTAACTAACATGGTTGCCTTCGTATGGCAACTGAAATTCAACTCCTTAACAAGAAGCCGGCCT